GGAAGCATCTAGGACCTTTAAGAGACTGTGTGTGTTTCTTCCACCCGTTTTCACCCTGGCTCTCATCTCCTTTCTGTCTATTGTTACCTGAAGGTGACAATTCAGTCTTAAGCAGCATCCAAAGGCATGCCCCACAGGATGATGGAGCAATGAGAGGGAAGAAGACTGGACCACCACACTGAACTATAAAGTGGGCAAGAAACGAACTTCCTTTGTGTTTGTGCCATTACACTTTGGAGTCTGTTTCAGCAGTACACCCTATCCACAGCACCCTCTGATACAAGACAGTTGGTGCCTGATAAAATACTACTTGACTGATAATTCACCTAATACAGTGTAGAGAACAGGATCCTGTGTTGCTACCTTCTGGCAGAGATTCATGAGGCTTCCAGAGACTTAGAGAAAAAGAGATTTACCTGGTGCTATGCAAAGTTGAGATACTCTTGGCATCTATAAGTGAGAACTAGGACTATTAGCTCTTCAACTGTATCTTATTCCTCTCTGTATGCTCAGTGCCTAGAACATTCTATTGTCAAGACACAGAGGAAACAACAGTACTTTTGAAGTAACTATTACTTCTCCACATTTATTAGAGCATGGAGCACACTGTAATGCAAATATTTGTTTTCTATCTCTATCCAGGGCTCTTCCAGAGCTCTGTGTTTCATAAGTCTTTGTATTCCTAACGCCTACATATCCTGCACATAAGAAGCATTCAGTGTTTGATGAATAAATTCATAAAGATTTCTTTAAAAACCCATGTAGGTGTACAGCAATAAAAACAAAGAAAAAACAATAACAATGAAAATAATTTGGATATAAATAACTCATTTCTTCTGAGGAGCTCTAAGTGCTTTCATTAAACTTCCTAAATGTCTTAGTCTGTTCTGGCTGCTATAACAAAATACCATAGAACAATGGCTTATAAACAACAGAAATATATTTATCATAGTTCTGGAGGGCAGAAGTCCAAGATCACGGGACCAGCATGGTCAGGTTCTGGTGAAGGCCCTCTTCTGGTTGCAGACTGCTCACTTTCTACTGTGCCCTCACATGGCAGAAGGAGCGAGGTAGCTCTCTGGGTCCTCTTTTATAAAGGCACTAACCCCATCCATGAGATCTCTGCCTTCATAATTTAATCACCTCCCAAAGTCCCCACCACCTAAGACTATAACCTTGGGCATTGGGTTTTCAATGTATTAATTTGGAGGGAAACAAAAATTCAGCACCAACCATCCTAAGAAAGAGGGACTTAGAAAATCCCAGACTTTTAAAACTAGAAGGAACATTAGAAACTGACTGAGAAAGCTAAAAGGACTTATTCTAGTAATTTGGTTAATTGGCTACAGAGAGCAAGTCTTCAAACTTCAAATCTAGGGTTATTCTCACAACACTAGGGACTACGTTTTATTCTTGCTCATCTCCCCCAGTGCGTACGATGGAGCCTCAAACATTGTGAGTATTCAGTAGCTAAATTAAAAAAACATGACCAAAAAAATCGAGTAATTTCTATGAACGTCATAAATGCAGGATAACAAATTTTCTTGTCTTCTTGAACCAAAATTTCTGGATCACTGAAGTCTAAGATGTTTTGATTTTGTAATAAGATCAAGCCTACTTTCTGTGAACTGTTTTTTTTTCTATGATTGTTCCAAAGAACAAAAGTATTAATATCTTTTAAAAAACAATCTTCAGTCTAGTATCAGAATAAAGAAAGGAGCGAGGGTAGCTTAAGATGAACGCTAGACTCTCCAGATTACACCACTGCTACTCTCCACTTTACCATCTTCAGATAATTCATTGCTTGTACACTGTCTGTATTTTCCTCATTATCTCGCAATTGTTCCAAAAGTAACTTAGTCTTTGCCAAAACAGGACAGAGATTACTAGGATGTAATTTGTTTTGACAAGTAATCACAGGAATTTATTATGGAGCAAGAAAGTTCTGAAGAGAACAAGAAACACCAACACACACCTTTTAAAGATATAAAGACTAACACCATTGTTTGCATCTATGTTATGGAATTTAATTTTGTAATTCGATTGAGATAAAGGAATAAAATGTGTTGACTTTCAAAGAGATTCAAAAAAAAATTCTAGGGACACTTTATTTGAAATACCCTAACTTTTGACTACTGCCACTTTCAAAAATGAAGCAGTCCTTACAAAGATCTCTTTGCTTTCCCCAAATCCCTAATCTTGACACTGCTAAGGTATAAGAAAGCAGAAAAATTTGATTTCGCTTGAGCCTTTAATTCTTCAACCCTCAGTTGTCTTAGAGCCCTTCAACATGATTCCTGCTAAATTCTTTTCTGTAGAATTCAGTTTGACAGGATCACAAAAGACCTAATCAACAAATCCAATGACCTGCACATTGAACTATGATCTTTCTGCTTCTGATGTTGCTGACTGTCTCTTTCCTTCCTGAAAGCAGTTCCTTCCTGAAAGCAGTTCCTTCTTTGGTTTCCGTAACACTCTTCTGGTTCTTCCTCCTCTCAGACAACTCTTGTCTCCTTTGCTAGTTCTGTATCTTCTTGACCTCCTAATAAGTACATCCACTGTTCTGGCCCTTTCTTCTTCTTACCCTAGAGTCTCTTCCTCTCTTACAGCTTCATGATCTTTTCTACATGGAAGACTCCCAAATCTAGTCCGACCCTCCCTCTTTGACTCTAGTGCCTCCTGGACATTTCGACTGGATGCAGTCATCTCAAACGTTGACATGTTCTAAAACAAATTTATCTCCTCCTAAAATTATAGACACGTCCTTGTTTCTCTAGTTCTGCAGAAGTTAATAAAATGCCCCCAGCTTCAAACTATAACCTCAGAAATACATTTTACCTTTTTCTCATCCTTGTTTCCTAAATTTGGCCACATGTGACCTAGGGCAAGCCATTTTACTTTTTGACCCATGGTTTCCTCATCTGAAAGAGAAAAATCACACCTGGCAGGTCTGAAAGAATTATGTATGGGAAAATGCCTAGCTAATTAAGTCAATAGATGCCCTTCTTCTCTTCAGCAACTCCCCAAGGCCTCCAACCAGATAAAAATTTCTTTGAGGGCATAAGTCTTATTTCTTTGTATATCCCTATAATGCCTTTCATAGTGGCTTATATACAGAAGTAGCCTAAGAAACATTCACTGATGCCCATGAATAAGCAACTAAAGGAATAAGTCAAGAGGTTCCAATAAAGGATCAGGAAATATTAACTACAATCAAAATCAGGAGGGATGTTTTCTAATCTCAATCAATCTAAATGGTATTTGGAATCAAATGTAGTTGATGAAAAAAATAAATCAGATAGTCCTAAGCATCTAATACCTGTCTCTGTGTTATGAGAGGTAAAGAGAATCATGAGGAGCTGGGCCTGCTCACCAAGAGCTCTCCTAGTTTCCTGTGGTCCACCTAAGAGGGAAGTTAAGAATGCTCATTCCTTGCAAAAAACCATGTTCCTTACTATAGATTTGGAGCAAAAAATACTCACATGTCAAAAGCACTGAACTCCAGTGTTAAGCGAGTTGGCAGCCCAGCAGAATCACCTGCACAGAAGCATTATGACATTTTCAATCATAAGTCAGTAATAGCAGCATTTAAAACGAAAACATTTGTAAATAATTTTGTTCTCTTTGTTGAGGCAAAAGTGCCCTATCCAATTCCTGGTTAGTCAAACTAAGCAGGAACTTAGCAGAAAATGATAGAGCTTTTGTGAATTTGAGAAATTTGCCAAGAATATTTTAAAAATTCATTGGAAAAAAAATATTTGCAATCTCCTGCCCTAGCAAGATTAAGTAATCAGTATTATGTCTTTGAATTAATAATTCGGGTTTTACTTCTCCCTTTCTTACTCCCAAATAGGGAAGAAGAAGTGAAAAAACATGGGAAAAAGTTAGAAAGTAAAATAGAAACTGGTGAAGATTGTAAAAGACAAGGGTGTTCCTTGTTAAAGGAAAGCTAATCCTATACTAGAGGTCAGAGAAGATAACAGAAGATGATGGAGTTTAATATTGCCTACCATTGTAGTAATAACCCTTAATGTCCTTAGGAGCTTCATCCAGCCGATACTCATTCAGCTTCTTCTGGGTCAACTCATGCCAGAATCCAACATCCAAGGCACTGCTAAAGGGGGCAAACTGTAATTTGGAGAGTCCAGGATCCCCTGTAGCTGCTGCCATTATTTGTTGCTTGCTAAAAAACAAACAAAACACAATAAAATGGCACAAAACATGGTGAAAAAGATTTGTAATAATGTTTAATTAAAACATCAAACAGAAAGGAAGAAGTAAAATTATCTCTATCTGCAGAAAAAGTGATTTTTTTTTTCCTTAGGCGAGGCAACCCTTGGTTGACCTCACAGATTGCAAGGACCTTGTCAGCTTACAATCCCTTATTTTTTTTTTATTTTTTATGCCTACAGCATCTGGTCTTCCTAGGTGGTCTCCCAACCAAGTACTAACCAGGCCCGACCCTGCTTAGCTTCCGAGATCAGACAGATCAAGCTTGTTCAGGGTAGCATGGCTGTAGACAGAAAAAATGATTTTATATAGAGAGAATCCTGAAGACTCAACCAAAACACTGTTAGAACTAATCAATGAATTCAGCAAATACAAAATCAATATGCAAAAATCAGTGGTGCTTCCATATACTAACAATGAATTTTCTGAAAAAGAAATAAAGAAATCAATTCCATTTTCATTAGCATCAAAGACAATAAAATACTTAGGATGAATTTAACTAAGGATGTGAAAGATCTCTACTCTGATAACTATAAGACATTGATGAAAGAAATTGAAGATGACACAAATAAGTGGAAAGGTAGCCTGTGTTCATGGCGTGGAAGAATATTGTAAAAGATCAATACTATCAAAAGCTATCTATAAATTCAATGTAATCCCTATCAAGATTCCAATGTTTTGTTGTTGTTGTTGTCGTTTTGTTTTTTTACAGAGGTAGAAAAAATACTCCTAAAATTTATATGGAACCACAAAAGACCCCAAATAGCCAAAGAAATCCTAAGAAAGAACAAAGCAGAAGGCATCACCGTTCCTGATTTCAAGCCATACTATAAAGTCATCAAAACAGTATGGTACTGGCATAAAAACAGACAAAAGGATCAATGGAACAGAATCAAGAGCCCAGAAATAAACCCCACCATATACAGTCATTTATATTTGACAAGAGAGCCAAGAATACTAAATGGAGAAAAGGCAGTCTTTCCAATAAAAGGTGCTGGGTTAATTGGATATTCGCATTTAAAAGAAAGCAACTAGACCCATATCTTATATCACTCACAAAAATTAACTCAAAATTGATTTAAAGACTTAAATGTAAGACCTGAAACCATGAAACACATAGAAGAAAACCTAAGAATAAAGCTCCTTGACATGGGTTTTGGTAATGATATTTTGAATATGACCTAAAGCATGAGCAACAAAATAAAAAATAAACGAGGTAGACTACATCGAACTTCTGCACGGCAAAAGAAACCATCAACAAAGTGAAAAGACAACCTACAGAATGTGAAAGAATATTTGCAAACCATATATCTGATAATATATATAAAGAACTCATACAACTCAACAGCAAAAAAACCAAAACAAAAAACAAATGAGCAAAGGTCATTTCTCCGAAGAAGATATATGAAAAGCTAACAGGTACATGAAAAGATGTTTGACATCACTAGTCATTAGAGAAATGCACCACAGTGAGACATCACCTCATGCTTGTTAGAATGGCCATCATTAAATGGACAAGAGATAATAAATGTTGGTGTGGCTTTGGAGAAAAAGAAACACTTGTGCATTGTTGGTGGGATTGTAAATTGGCATAGCCACTATGGAAAACAGGATAGAGGATCCTCAAAAAATTAAAAATAGAACTACCATATGATCCAGCAATTCTACTTCTGGGAATATATCCAAAGGAAACAAAAATACTAACTCGAAAAGAGAGCTACATGTCCACATTCATAGTAACTATAATGAAGACATGGAAACAACCTAAGTGTCCATTAATGGATGAGTAGATAAAAAATCTGCAGTATATACAATGGAACATTATTCAGCCATCAAAAACAACCTAAGTGTCCATTAATGAATGAGTAGATAAAGAATCTGCGGTATATACAATGGAACATTATTCAGCCATCAAAAAATGAGGAAAACCTACCATTTGCAACAACATGGATGGACTGAGAAAGCATTATGCTAAGTGAAATAAGTCAGACAGAGAAAGACAAATACCATATAATCTCACTTATATATGGAATCTAAAGAAAAAAGAAATAAAAACCAAACTCACAGAATAAGAGGTGGAACTTGTTACCAGAGGTAAAGGGTGAAGGGAGGGGGAATTGGAGGAAGGTGGTCAAAAGGTACAAAGCACAGTTGTAAGTACTAGGTATGTAATGTACAGCATGATGACTATAAAACTGCTGTATGACATAGTTTTTAGGAGAGTTAGATACTAAGAGTTTGCATCACAAGGAAAATATTTTTCCTTTCTTACTTTTCTATTTAGTGTATGTATATGTGAAGATGGAAGTTAGCAGAACCTATTATGCAATCACTGCACCATGCTGTATGCCCTAAATTTATACAGTAATGTATGACAATTTTTTCTCAATACTGGAAGAAAAACAACCAACCAATCAAACAAAAAGTATGAGAGGTATTTGGGCTACCTGAAAACACAACTTTGGTTATCAACCTGAGTAATTTGCCTGTGTTATCGAGTTTAGACTCCTTACAACACAACTGCGTTTTCTTTTTTGCTTTTATTAATCCACTTTCATCTGAAACTACCGATGGCTGAATCAACTGAGATCTTATATGCAACTCTGATGAATTCTATCATTACTGTCTGCATCATTTCATCCTTCCCCTCCACAAATCAATACTATGAATAATTTATTATTGACATTATACACTATGAAAATGCTAGAAATAAATGTTAACAAATAAATATTGAATCGTTAATATAAAAACCATTACAATTTTTTTTTTGTCAGGAATCTGAAATATTTGATGGAGCTAGAAAGTATCATTGTTTATAAAAAAGACTATTAAACTCACACATTTTTTTTTCTTAAAGATAGAAACTATGGTGCTTCATCTTATAAAAAGAATTTATTATTTACAGAAAAGAACACTGTAATAAAGATACTTCTTTTTTTCTGGTGGAATCATAAAACTAATGAAAGTTACGGAAATTTTCAACTTTACTCTATTTTACATTTCATTTTCTCCCTCAAATCATCAAACAAATTTGACCCTCCAGGCGATCAAGCAGGTGTACACCATAACTCCTTACGTTCCGTGCATACACTCTCAGGGTACACATACCCCAATCTGAGAAGGGCAATTCTAGAGAAACTTGGCAGTTCCAAAAAGCACAAGGTGATGAGGCCCCATCACTTACCATCCATCCAATTACCTCATGACCAGACAGATTAATATTTCTGCAGCAGAACGTATGAATAGTTACCCCAGATGGGATAATTTTTTTAAAAAAAGTCAATTCACATCCACTCAGAGAGGTTTTGTCCAAGTTTTGTACCGAGGTTATTAAATAGCTTTCACTTTTCCTAACTTGTTGTATTTTAGAATTAGAGATATGGAGCTTTGGACTGATAGTAACTATATGGAAAAATGTAAAGTTAGTATTACATAAAAGGGCTAAAAATCAAAAAGGAGGAGAGGAATGTGGGGTAGGGCAGGGAGGAAGCTTCTGTGAAGGAGCTGGGCGCTGAGTTATGTCGAAAAGGATGGGCATGAAGGGGGAAGATGGGCAAAGAGTGGAAGGAACAAGAAGAGTTGGGGAACCGATATGGTAGAAACGAAGAAGCATGAGCCTAGCTGTCCTTAGTGGAGGGTTGGTACTGTGCAAGAGCAACATACACAAAGCTGAGCAGGTTGCACTGTGAACACAGATGGAGAAGGCTTCATGTGAGGCTGAAGAATTCCAGAGTGTAAAGCCAGTGGCAGTTTGGAATGGGAAATATGACAGAATTCTGCAGTGGCAAAATCGCTTTGAAAGAAGCAGATAGGAAAAAGCATTTAACAGCCTAAAAATGTATGAAGACCTGGATTAGAGCAAAAGAAGTCAGGCTGAAAACACAGCCCCTCATCAGGGATGTTTTAAGAGAAAAGGTGAACCCAGTTGGTATCTTGGTGGATTCCAGGAATGAATGAGAGGAAAAAGCCCCTGGGGTGTCCAGCCCCGACTGGCTAGGAAAATGGCAGCTCCACTGAAAGAAAAGATCTGAAAGGCCGAGCCAGAGGCAGAAGAGTAATGATAAAGACATTTTCAGCCAAGATAATGGCAGGGGGAAGTGAAACAGGTCCAAGGAAATGGGCTGGCCTGAGAAGACAGACTCAGATTTCAGAGGCATTTACACTGAGATGACAGCGAAAGCAGGTGAGAATGCTCAGTTCATAAAATTACTCTGAGAAAGAAAAGCCACAGCCCAACAGGGTCCTATAGAATGCCCAGTTAGCGGGTAAGAAGAAATAGAACCAGCAGCATAAACAGAGGACACACAAAGGACAGTACAAAGCACTAGCTGGTACACCAGAATGGTATGTCTACCCACCAACCCAAAGCAATAAAAAAGTTGGAAGAGGGTAATGACGAATGGCAGAAAAGAACACTAAAAGTTAAAAGAAAAAAAAAAAAAGAGTCCTGGTCAATGCCATTGGATTTTAATTTTTAAAAAGAGTTCAGTGGTAGCTTTCTAAAGAACAATTTGAGGGTAGATTGTTAAAAACAGAACAAGCTTTAAGGGTCGGATCAGCATGGAGAAGTAACCAACTGTGTCCTTGGCAAGTTCCAGGGGGCTGGTTAAGTTTGCTACTGGATTCCTAATGGACAGGCTTAATATGTTTGCCACATTTAAAAATTGCTTTGGCAAAAGAAATCCAAATAAGAATTAATGAAAATTTCACAATAGGGACTTAACAAACTCAGAAAAACAAACAAAACAAAAAGTAGGAACTATAATAATTAAATATTTTTCTATATAATCAACAAGCTTGGTTGATCACAAAAGAAAGTGTGTCACTGTCCTTAAAACTCTCCAATGCCTTAGTATGTATTTGAAGCTTCAGGCACCAGACAACATCTGACCAAGGGTTTTCAAGCATTTACCACCTTGAAGGCTTATTTAAAAATGAAGATACCTGGGCTCC